GATGTATTTTTTTTTTCTTTTTTTTTTTTTTGAGTAAGCTTGTGAGGTTTTTTCGCAAGCTCTCGGACAAGCACTGAGCATACAGTGCTTATAAATATACGTTGGGTAAGGGCAAACCCGTTATATATGATTAAAAAGAAATACACTGTAGCCCAGCCTTAGTTATGGAGGCCTACATGTATATGTAAATGTTTAAGTGAGCTGAAAATTTAAATTCTTGATTACATTTACAAGCCAATTCGTCACGTTTTGTGTTGTCTATGAAAATGATAAAGCATATACATGTAAAAGAAGTAAGCAACTGTCATCATGCATGGTTATACATTTCAGCTGTTTTAATTTCAAGTACATGTACATGTAACAGAAGGTACATTTGCTCATTTTTCCAGTATTCAAAATTTTGCTGGACCATTTTGAAATTTTCAGAGGCAAATCAACATAAATATATTTAATGTTTTCAAATTATGATTTTAACTTTGTTTGAAATTGTTGATGGCTATGGGTTAACAAATAATATAATTGAAAGGAAGGGTTCCATATATGGATGCCGCTTGACACAGTGTGCACAAACCCTATGAGATTGGTCAGAAAAATTCTGATTGTATTCTAAGTAAACGACTTGGCTTTTTCCTAAAATGAACTTTTCTAGACATTTTTTGCATTCTGACGGCTTTCAGTTTAGGGAATAATTATTGGCATCCGTATGTGGAACTCTTTCCACTTGTAAATTGAAATTCACTCATCAGCAAAAAAACCAAACAAACAAACAAACAAACAAAAGAAACTGTAGGCCTGCAATGTAGCCGCTGCCATGAATCAGCCCCACATTTTTCCATTGGAAGACAGCAGATATTGCATACACATACATGATTTACAGTGCCAGTCCTCAACTACTCAAGAGTACATTCATGTGCATGTAGATCAACTAGCCATACCGGTACATGACTTTCCTTTACATGCATACACATGTACACGTGTACATGTAGCTGTCACAATGAGTTCAACTAACCACTTTGCCTACAGCTATGAACTCTGAATATTAGTGAAGTGTTGGGTTAAAGACAAACTGGCATGATAAATGCCTTTTATAATTTTTCAGTCTCCTTAAGGTTTACTGTTTACATACAAAATTTACATAATTGAATGACATTTTGTTTAACTGATTTGAGGCTCAAGAGAATTTTCCAAGGGATGTAAAATCTGAAATTGCACTTGGACTGGATCTCATCTCATGAGTGAGAAGTTACAATGAGTGTTAAACTTGGACCTAGACTAAGATTTGTCACCATGGTAAAATGTGAAGCCAAAATTTGAAACGCTTTGATATTTATTTATAAACAGAAACACTGACGAGTGTGTACGACGTTTAGAAATGGTATGTAAACATACAGGTACTGGCATGTAAACAACATTTCTGTTGCAATCAGATAGCAAGAAAGCAACTGTGTAGTCTCGTTCAAGATGGGAGGGCCAAGATGGCAGTGCAACCTCTCCAGCATGATGTGGATACTTCTTATGTTGGTAAGTATTCAGATTTCATTTATTTGTTGCTATCTTTAATAAGGTATTCCATCCAGTGAAGGCTGATTATTTGGGGCTCTCACAATGAATAAGACATTGAAGAAATGTTTAGGTTTAGAGGTGGGAGGAAAACCTGGGATAAATTCCTGGGAAAAAGCATGTAATCAGGTAGAGATTGAAAATCTAATCATGCAGCAGGTAAAATTCAAACCCAGGCCACTCACCTGGAAGGCAAGGCAAGAGCCACTACCCTAACCCCACTCCCCTCAATGCCAACCAGTCTTGACCTGCATTTAAATCCATACCAGGGCTTCATGGTTGCATCAGTTGCTCGTACAAATACATGTACCGGTACATGTGTATACATGTTGTTGTCTTTACTGCATGATGTAGTATGCATGTTCAGAGCTAAGGGAAACATTTGCCTAAAAGTAAAATGCCAAAAATGAGGGTTACTTTACCAGTATTCACTCTTTGCATGCTGACACCTTAGGCACTGTTAGGCATGCAGAGCCTCAAACTAGCAGCATATAATCTCATGAATGTAGCTTTTTGAAATATTGTCCAATCGCATGATGTAAGAACTAACGCAGTACATGCAAAATTACCAAGCAACATACATGTACATGTACGTGCAGATCACTGAACCGGCTATATTTATTGTGTAAAGCTGCCAGATAGCGGCTCTGCATGCCGATGGCTGCAGCGTGCAAAGAGCGAATAGCAGTGAGAAATGCAGCCATTTGGAGACTTTGACGGGCATTTTGATTTCATCATCAGATGTTTGGACTTCTTTATATGTACAGTATGTTGTAAAGAGACATAATCGGGTGTATTTGCTGGAGATTTACAATGTACATGTACGTGTACCAGTAGGTAGAATGTCTTTAAATGCATACAGGTGTGCAGTGCCCTGTGTGGAATATCCTGCTTGCACTGGCTACATGTACATGTATGTACAAGTACAATTGAGGTATAAAATGCTAGTACTTGTTTGGTAAACCGTATAGTCAATGATGGTAGATGATTTTTTGGGGAGGGGGAGGACACTCTACTTTTTTCCAGGGGAGGGGGGAATTTCTGGGGCGTGCAAGTACATGTACTCATCTGCAACTCAATGTAAGAACTGATACATTACATGTACGTAATGTGGGAGGGGATCAATTTTGTGATTTTTTTTCGAGCATATTGGTAATTTTCATCCTTATTCTCTTTTTTAAAAATTTCTTTTGCCTCTCTTTTTCTGTGCTTTATTTCTCATATTTTGTTTGGGGGAGGAGAGGACCCATGATGCTTTGCTTAATGGTGATAATGATCTCACTTGAAGGTAATCATTTTGAGTTCTGTACGTGATGCTGTTCTTTGGCATAAATCAATGTGAGTGCAATCAACTGTAATTGGATACTTTGAAACGAACATACTGTACTAATCTTTTTTTAACCAGGTCTCAGCTTGCATGTGTTGTCATGAGCATTATGCACAGTTCTGAGCACGGGCAGCAGTGTGAAGAAAGACCAGTATGTCTGCTGCCACCAGCGTCTCAATTAGTCCCCCTTTTGCTTGAGTACCATGACAGCTGCCAAGAACTGCATGGGAACAAGGGATGTATGATTATAGGTATTTTGGGAACTGGGTACCCATTTTGTGTCAACACTGGGTACATATAAAGAACAATTGATTATGGCATGGTGTGCAATCCTGGTGGGCCATGTGCCTGAAACAGGCCTGGCTTTTTGTTTGTACATGCAAGTACATGTACATGTAGGAAGCAGCACATTTGTGTAAACATTAGAGGGGAATTGCCACCACCATTTCATTAATTAAATGAAGTGTTACCTTTAATTTGTAACAATAGTAGCTCCGTCGATTTCTGAACTGGAGTTATGACCATGGGACCGGGTTTCTCAGCAGCTCAACGATGAACAAGTAACGCTACATGTACTGTATGCTCTCACCCATGTGACTCCATTAAGGAGTTGAGAATATATGTACATGTAGTTATTATTGAGCTCCTTGATCTGTAACCTACATGTACAAATTATTAAAAAAACAGAAACCTGTACTGACAACATGACAGATTATAAACTACACAAGTGGTTACATACTGTACATGTACATGGACCTATAGTGAAACAACACATGCAACGTACATGTACCGGTACATGGACCTAGTGAAACAACACACTCAGTGTGCATGTACATGGACCTATCATGCTGCTGAAATAGGAACCTTATGCTGAAGAAAAACCTTTACATTAGCCATTAAGACATTTGAAAGTAGAGACAAGAATCCTTATGTCTGTGACTACATGTAAGGATGTGCCAAGAATTTTCATTCATTCCAATTTTTGATTTAATCAGAAGGAAGATATTTGGTGAACAAAACAGTAATTAAGATGCACAAAGCAAACAATAAACCTTCACAGTTGTGAACAACTGCGTGGTATGGTGTGAGGAATTATTCAGCTTATATTGGGTGTATCATCCAGGAGGTCTAGGATAAAAAGATGTAAGTGCAACAACAAGAGTCTTTTCTTTGGATGGTACTT